AGCTCAGACAGCTACTCCGTGCTGTTCGCATTTACTTTACGGCCGACCATCCTACTTTGAATCATGGGCCGCAGTCGAATCGAATTCGGCATGATCAGTCGAAATTGTCTCATCGACCAAATCAGCTGCTGTCGATGACCTGCCTATGCCTATGCGTGTGCTGTATGTACGTAACCTATCTACTTAGTGCATAGGTAGGTAGTTGACGAAGAGGCGCCCTCACGGTAAAACAATGACGCGGGACTCAGCCACGACGTGTCGTGTTTGCGGGGTGGGCAAACAGCGAGCACCGCCATCGTCGGGTACCTGGAATTGCGCGTCGCAGAGTTGAGATTACGGGTACCTACCGCCCTCGCCCTCTCTTCTGCCCTGCCCTGCATGAAAGGAGAGGAGGCTTCCCCGACCCTCGGCCAGGCGGTATCGGTATCGTCTCAAAATACTGGCCAACGAATCCATCCTATTCACCTAAAACCCAAAACTGAAAGGCCGCCCACTGGATGGCTAGGTGACGCCGGCTTGTGTTGTTCCCGAACATGTGAGGGGAGCCTAGACAAAACCCTCTTTCACTGCTGCGTCATGCCCTGGAGAGCGGTGGCCAAGGAGTCAAAGACCCCGTATTGATACATTAGAAAGTCCGAAGCAAAGCATTTTAATTACCAAGCCATTACCGAGGTATCTAGGTGTACTCAGTATGCCTGGCGCGAACGTCTAGGGCCAACGCGATCGTGGTGGAATCCATAACAGGTACCTAATTATTTCCATCTCGATAAGCAGAGCATCCTCCGAAGACCGATGAAAATACTTGTACGGCATACCTACACCATTTTCCCTTCTCGTCCCTCTCCTTACTAAGCCAATGATAATCAGTTGCAGCCACAATTCTTTTTCGCCAGCAAATATTGGGCCACGATAGGTATAGGATCTACCTACATACCCCACGATGCAAGGTCGAGAAGGGATTACTACGTAAAGACATTTCCGTTTGCCATTATTTGATTCTTGCCACTGTCTAGATTCTTCATCGGCACGCTGCATTCTTGGTTCTAGGTAACCACGTGCGAATACATCTGAATAATCGCCTCTTCGCCGCCCCCTCTCCCCCTTTGATGATCATCCCGTATATATGCGCTTACCCGAAGGCAGCCGCTGAATAAGCCACTGAGCCAGTAATACGTCCGAATACCTAGACTCTGACCTAGAGTAGGAGCACAAAGACAAGGCAAGGATATGCATGTCTCTTGGAATCTTGATATCATCATTTCCTTCATAGTTTTTTAAGACATCCAAACTACAACCTAGGACAAGTCAATCTACTTATGAATTCTAAAAGGGCAAGTTCGGATTTGGCCGCATGTGCGCCGTACGTATATGTAAGTAGGGTTCGGCAACAAGAACAGTGGCCTGTTTTTGTTTTCCAGAAGCGTCCCTACAAGCAGCTACTTACAGGGTGATCGCCAGACAAACTACGGACTACGGCACTCTACTCACTAAGAAAGGTAGGTGTCTAAAATCCTCCGGAAAATCCTGCAATAGCGTCCTGCACAATTACTTACATACCCACCTAACCCGGATTCCTATTAGTCTAGGTGAGAATCGTAGGTATCTCGATCACGATGACCATGATTACCTATGTTGTGATTGGTGACACACACGCCGCCGCCACTTGCCCATGTAGGTCTCCCGCATCCTAAGACACATGTACAACGTAAGATGTGAATCGTAGAAGGACGAACCCCGCACGGGGTCACCTTGTTCGCATAATTGATTGACCCGGGCTGTTCGGCTACGATACTTCGTTAGCTATCAGGGTTGGCACGGTGATCTTGGAAAACATTGATCTCGCCCTTGGGGCCGACAATCGGCTTCAAGGCACAAGTAGGTTCTAGAAAACAAGTGATGCAAGTCTGGTCAACTTGCGGCCGTAGCGTAAACAACTCGATGCCACCCTTCATTCAGAATTGCCGGCGGCATCAGGGAGGTTGCATCTAAAGTGCAATTTTTCGGAGGTTTTTATATTTTTATCTCATAGTTATTTGTTTCATGTGGTAAATAATTGAGTACACGGAATAATCAGTTTCAACATGCGGTCATGCACTCTTCTATGATTGTTTTTTGAGGTTCCACGGGCAGGACACGGGCTAGGCAGCAATGAGTTTAAACGTCAACTAACACCCAATCAATAATAGTTTATAGGTAGGGCTCGGGACATGGCATAATCTGTGTAATCGTCCTATCAACCACCTCAACCCGCTATTCTAGGTAAGAGTGGCAACACCAAACAAGATAAGACAAAACTACACAACACATGAGATATTGTCTCACAGACTAAGTATAACCTTCTTGTCCAATAGCTAAGTCATGGCTAAGCGGACTGCCTTACCTTAGACACCACGCTCCATAGGCGTAGGGTTCAATAGGCAGCTTCTCTGCCTCGTGCCGGATCACCGAACATTGGACGATCTACCAACTCCACGAATCCGGGTCCAGCTTACTCACATGTGCACTTTTCTAAATATGTCATCGGTCCCATCCTCTTTTCTGTGTGGTGTATAGATGCTAGATCTGAGACTAATCGCAAAGTGCACAGAGGTCGTTAATCAGCCTTTAGGCAGGCTGGGAGGGCGAAGGGTCAGCCGCCCGATGCGGCCGCAGCTAGCCTGCCTAGAAGGACTCCCGACTCACAACAATTGGACTAGAGAGGCGCGACTAAGCTCGCTATTACCGCCGGGCGCTTAATGCCCTTTGAAATCTTGCTTGATCTTGGGGTCGGGAATCTTCTATCTTCCTGTGGCTGTTGGTGGCACTAAGCTAAGCAAGCAGGGGCTTACTTGCTTGGAACTCCCTTTCCGCACGGAGCCGCACTTCAGCCTAGAACAAACACCAAGGACAGGCTGACGGCCCGTGAACATCTAGTATTATGAGTAATCAACCACTCACCTAATCATAGTCACCAGTCCCGATCATTTCACGATGTTTTCTTGTTGGCGTAATAACAACACCTAAGTCCTGGGTAGCTCAGGGAAAACAAGCAAAGTCTTTCGCAGGGATCCCCGGATCGTGGCGGCGGAGGTGGCGGAGCAGCACGGCACGTGAACACAGCTAACTTTTCCCCGTACAGCGTCGACCGTAAGTAACCAGACCCAAGGCCGATCGGTCCCCTTCTAGAGTTTTTTCCTTCGCGCCGATAACATTAGGCCAAAGTCACGATGTGCGTCACGCCATCTAGTCCTTGCCGCTCGCATCGGACGTGTCGAAAAAAGTCGAGCGCGTCACACGGCCACATGACTCCTCCGAGACGCGACTCACATAGGATCCGGCTAGTCGCGGCTGGGGAACACGATGGAATGACGAGAAATTTTTAGGTAGACGACGCGCTTGGGAGCTAGGATCACTGCACTATGATTCTCGGCCTCGTGGGCCTCGCTGCCTACTGTGTCTTGTGCACTCCGCAACCAGGAGGCGACGGACCTTACCCTAGCCGGCTGAGAAATCCCTGCGTCGCAAGCGAGTGCAGCCTAGGGCTCTGTGAAGCAGAATAAGGTTCGGACATAGGGATTGTGCACGGCTTGCAGAGGTTATCGCAGCCTATGCTCGGATTCCGGATGTCACGTATGTCCGCCTGCTCAGCAATGCGATTACTGAGCGCCGGGGTCGATGATCGATTGTGTTTCGCATCTCATCATTACGCGGTTGGGCGGGACGAATCTGACAGGTCCTGTGAACTGTGAATCGGTTGGGTATGTTGGCAAGCTTTGATCATCAACGTGATGAGTGCAGGGTGATGTAATCATGGTCGGATTACCGCCACTGAGTTTGGTGGCAAGGACCTTCTCATTCTCACGGCCGAAGGAGCGTCAGCCCGAGATATGTGAGTCACTGGCTTTGTAGGTTTAATTTCGGGTATAGGTCGTATTTAGTGTTGCTGTTGGTGTGAATATTGTAGCAACAAGCTGCTTGTGGGGGTCACCGTAGGCAACTCAAAAGACTAGACTTCGGCCGGTCACCCAGTACCGTGAGTCTTAAAGGTCTTGATGATTAGTCATAGCGAATCCGAGATACGTGCTCAGATACTAAATTACCTACTGAGTTAGAATCAGCAAGGCTTGTTTTTGTTTTGTGATACTAAACAAATCTTGTTCTTCGCCCATTGGGGCGAATAGAACGTCCTGGTACCTATATCAGAAATCTTAGCATAGCGTCATATGCTCCCACCTAAAAGTAATTGGAGGATATGCCTGCATTCCATCAGGTATAATTGATGACTCAAGGAGTGTGTATGATATACGACACGTCATGATAATGCTGTGACAAAAGTCGTACGACTGATAGCTGCGGTGCCGTGCACAAATAAATACGTTCTCAATCGTGGCGATCAGCCAACCGTAACATTCTCGGTGAAAGAGAGATTACTCTCAACTCGAAAGTGGTATCATTGAATCGTTGATATTGTAAATATGATGGTGTGGAAAATGAGATATTTCCGGTACTTGCAATATGCATATAATAAAGCCGGATGCTTTTGTATACCGAAAGGTACGAAGTAAAAGAAACCTCACGTCAAGGTTGTAAACAACAAGCTTTGACACCCAAACCCTCGCCAGGCATATCGACATCTATACCGTTGGCGACAAATTCACTCGTCTCTACTGCCAGCGTGTTGACCGGAGTGCAAAGCAGCAGCACTCTGATATTGCCCCTCTATCCTTCGTTGAATACTTCATATTGCACCCGCTAATACCGTTTCCCTATCACTTCTATCCTCGCCGTCTTCAATGTCACTGCCTCCACCAGCACTTCCGCCGGTCACATCTATCGATGCAACATTCCTCTCCCATCACTTCCATTATATAACCTAGCGTACTGATATTTCTATTTGAATATAATAGGATTACATGTAAGAACAATGAAGAATTTTTAATTTTGATTCGTTTTGTACAGTCAAAAGTCTCCTCCCGCCCAACCTCCAAAAACCGTTTGTTATAGAGGAGGAAAAAGGTTTACGACCGTGATGGGATTCGATACCCATATCTCCCTAGTACACAAAGCTTGTTCGGCGTTCAGGCGCGATACCATTACGCCACACGGTCTGGAAACAAGCCCCTAATTTCAATATAAACTACGATGCTTGCGGAGGTATAAGCTGCTACTTTTCCAAGATCTAAGATCACAGTTTACGTGCGTCGATTGCGGTAGGCCTAGTGCGATTAGGAAGAGAAACAGCGGCTACCGGAACAACCGCTTGCACTGCTGAAGAGCAGACATTACAGAAAGCATCGCGTAGCCAGAGGGGAGAAGCGCAGAAGAGAGGCTAAATTATCTCGGCTTGTTAAGAGCAGTGATATGCCAGTGCCAGTTGCGGTATCCGTCTAATTCCACGGGGGTATTGCCTAAAAGACAGGCAATGCTTTACTTGCTATGAGTACAAAAGGGTTAAGAGCATGATCATTTTTCTATATTCCCCGAGTAGATAATCATGATTGCTATAGTGTGCAAGCCCATATGGTTCGCGATAAGGTTCATTTTTTGAAGAACCTAAATCAAAATTGTACAAGAGAATCCTACTGGCATTGCGAGCTTTATTGGATTCTAGGATCTGGAAGTACATCACTGTAAGGGATCGTGCTACTGAATACGGGCCGCACTCTAATAGAGGGCTGGCCGCTGCCATCTAATCATTTCCAGAGACTTGGTATTCAAGAAAAGCAACGTACAGTAGGAGACAAAGGTTTCTGTACTCCCGCCATTTTACAATAAAACTTACTATATATTGAAGAGAGTGCCCCGAAGGGGTGCCCTCCTCCTAAACAAGAAGAAAAACTACTACTAGACTACCCCTGAGTATATAGGAAAAGCAACGAATTTTACCCCCTCAAATCGAGATTGAAGACTAGGCACCTTGGAGCCCGCATTGCCACCTCACCTCGGTTCCTCGGGGCGATTCGACGCCAATGCGGTCGAGCTCCGTATGCGTAATTCTCACATAAGGCTCTAGCTGGGCTCCAAAGAAAAACAACAGTGCCCTTTTATTCTCCTTCAGAAGCTTTCTCTGCTCCCTTAGTACGGACGTCCTAGTAAGATGCCGTTACCCGGGCTGCACAGTGAGAAGGCGCGGGCTTCGAGCGCGAGACCGAGTCCGGAGGTGATGCCTTCCCGTGAAGGGTGGGGGACCAGCCCCGAATGTCGGCAAGTGGTTGCTGGTCTCGAATTGTGCATGAGCATGTGAGAAATGCTCGCTCCACATCTCGCCCTAATTTACTACCACAGCTGTACATACATAGTTTCAGTGTCCATGTCCTCCTCGGAGAGACTGCCAACGCCAACTCTTGTGTACACCTCCTTGTCCCTAATATCCCAGCTTCGTTGAATCAAAATAATCCAATATAGGCGATGCTCTTGTACCAAGCCTTGCTTTCCTCTCGCAATTGGCACACAGAGTAACCCATCCGGGGAGTATACACGGTCTAGGGGTGATTTGTAGACCTCGTCGAAACAGAAGCCTGATGTCACAACTGGGTCAGACCATTCGCTGCCACGCGCTGAAAGTCTCCTAGCAGGGACCGTGAGTTCTATACGGCCTTGTTTCATTCCTTTGGTCGAGATCCAGGTATTGAAGAAGTGTCGAAACGCACTGCTAATATCTTCGTTAACCTCCATCTCCTTAAATGCCTGGCTGGAATATTCGATCGAGCCACGATAAGCCATCCACGACCAGGATGGAATCTCCCCTCCAGCGGGGTAGTCAATTCGACGAGTGTCGGATTCTGGGTCAGGTTTGCTGAACCACATCAAGGTAGCTAAGAGATATCGTTCCACGATGCCGTAGGCGCAGACTGTACCTAGCGCTAGAGCTAGCCGTTCCTCTAGAGGGGCGATCGCCTTTGCTCTGTGCTGGATTATATCGAAATCAAGTCTAGAGCAAAGCTGGTAAAGATTTTGGTAGAGCAAGATCCCGCTTCCGCCGAAGTAGCGTAGAGCGTTTGTCGGGAAGTGCGAGTCGCCAAGAAAAGACGCCTTGTTCCTGTGGGAAAATTAGAAATAGGTCGACCGGGGAGAAAAAGGGGAGAAAGGGCCCGGTAGCGTTGGGTTGTCACTTTTAGTCTGTTTACCTACCAAGGTATTCTACCCAAAGTCTCGCACCGGACTCCCTTACCGCATTCCATATATACCTGAAACCCGGTGAAATAAATTGTTCGACGGCTTAAAGCCCGCTCTAGTGGGTCCCAGCCACTCCTATTCCGGAAGGAATTGTCAACATTCAGAGAAAAGTGGTCGATAAATTGCGATATATAAATGATCCGCCCTTCTGAATCCTGGATCCTAAGGCAGGCCCTAGAATTCCTATGAGGGTCCATACCATCGTAAATTGAGCGGGAAGGGACCGGAGCCAGCCTGCAATAAGCCGAGCTAAACACGTCCTCTATTCGTTGGGCGACGTCGTTCTCGTCATCCTGAGTGATGCATAATGCGTCTACCCATAAATGATGTATGCCGAGGCTCCGGGTTATCTGAACGGCATCCCGAATAGTCGCAGGGAGTTCACTGAATAGAACGCCTAGTCTGTATTGATCATAACTAGGCTTGAAACCAAATGAGTTTCCCTGCAAGAAGCTTAACGCAATGTATGGCTTTGTAATCCCGCTTGGATCGTCTACTAATCGGATGATGGTAGAAGCATCGTTTCCTATATCCAACAGCCGAGTAGGTAATGGCCCTTGAGCTCTCGAGGCGCTTGACTGATGACAATCATGGTCCTCATCACATATCTGTAGCCATTCTCTGAGAATGAGTTGTTGCGTAGGGCCAAAAGGCGCGGGGAGCAGTGGGATACCAGGTAAAGTTTGTGGGGGCATTTCCCCCAATGATTCTTGAAAGCCGTCAGCATATATTACTACATCCAATCGTACATAGAGGTTGGGAAATGAGTAGATACCTGGGTCGGCATATATTACGCATAGAACAAGGTCTCCAGGGTGGGTTTTGATATAAGGCCCCTCTCGCCGAAACAGTATTGGAGAGTCATGTTGGTGATATTGTAACTCGTCATCCACTCCGAGCTGACCGTCTTGAAATAGGATACTACAGAGACCACATCGATGTGAGCTCTGCAAGAAGTAAGAAATAGTTCGTTTGAACTGGAAATCGGGGCTAAATAGGTCCAAAGCCTGGCACTCCTCACAAAGGTTTGGCACCGCAACCTTGGGTTCTGAGGACCAGTCGATTTTCATGAGAAGGCGTTCCGCGAAGGGGTCTTGAAGCATAGAATGAGAAGCATCGTTAGGATTCTGCAAACTGGTTAGCTCCCCTCGGCGTTTGGAAAGGGAAAAAAAAAAAAAAAGGCACGGCCGTACGACAGAAATAGATGATCTAGATTCGACAAGCTTGTTGCCCTCCTCTTTAGTAATAGAGATCCCAATTGGAGGCGAGCTATCGTCGTCTTGAATGGTATCGGGCGGGTTTGGTACTTGGTCTTGGGGGGGTGGTTGAGGCGTATCCGGCCGGGTCGGTACCGTCAACGTTGCTGGAGTGACCCTCCATTTCGGATCCCAAACCTTTGGGTCGTACAGGTAGCTAAAAGCCTCTCTTGCCCCGTGGTATATTTTCTCTGTTTTGGTCCTGAGCTCTTTAGCGTTCGTTCGGTTTTCTGGTATCGTTACTAGGAGGTATTGGCGAATCAAACACAGTAAGTCCTGGAGGGCACTGCCATTTTCTTGATTGCAGTTCTCTAGACGCTTCATCTCAAGATCGATCAAGCTCTCTACAGCTTTGCGGATCCGGAACTCTCCATCTCTAAAGCCCCAATACCGTGTTTCATTCCCGCTTCCTCTAAAATCTATCAAACCCACGCTTCCGTCGAGGATCCAAATGAGAAACTCAAGGTAAATGCAGCCTATTGACCATATATCAATGGGGCCGGATCGGGGCGCACCATCGACGCTGAAGAGTTCTGGTGCCGCATATCGAAGTGCCCCCATTCTAGATGGTGTGGCTGAGTGACCTCGAGCGTGCGCGGCGGCGAATTGGGGGATGTTAATCTTCAAAATACAAAGCTCAGTGGATTTGAGATCATCAAACACCAAAATACTATTGGGCGACAAACCCCCGTGTACCATTTTCTTGTCGTGCAAGGTGACAATGGCATCCGCTAGACCACACATTTGCTCGAGCGCCCAAAGAACGACTGTCGGTTCCGGGGGCTGTGGTCCATCCACTAGGTCATGTCTCCGCGACCAAAAATCAGACAAGTTCCCTCCGTTGGCCCAGGGAACTAGCGTGTAGAGATAGCCGCTTCTTTCGTAAGCTATAAACGGGCTTATGAGATGTTCATTTTTAAGCTTCTGTAGGTCTTGCAAACTAGTAACCTCTCTTTCATAATCCTGGTGCCAAGGATGCCTCACTGTCACGACAACGGCCATGACAGACTTACTGGATATATCCTATTGTAGCATGAGTTCAGTAATAGAGTCGTAGTGGAAGTGTGAGAGAGCCCTAGATACTTACCGGCATCGTATTATGCCCGTGGTGAACTTGAGCTTTTGTGATGTTACTAGAACTACACTCGCGTTGCGGCGTTAAAATCGGTAGAGGTTGTTGTGGGTGTAGTCTGTATAGGAATTGATCGGAGGAAAAGATAGGCGCGAGGAAGAGCCACTGAGCCTCGATGAAGGCTCTTAGTTCTTTTATAAGTAAGGTATCGAAGCAGTTCAAACTTGCGCTCGGTTTCTGTACCTGGTAGCTAGGTTTATCGAGTGAAAAGACCACGGAATTCGATGGGTTTTTGGTATCACTTAGCCCTATTGGAAGTCCGGTGTCATCAAAGCCAGACCGGAAAATGAGATCGAGATATTTGAGGCAGTCGCAATAAATCAATATCAGGAATATCCGCTTTCCAGGTCCCGAGGCGAATGATACAAGGCGATCAACGAATTCTTTACGTGATTCCTGTTGAGTCGGCTCTTCGAGAGAGAGTTCCTTCCGCACCAATTCTTCGCGAGTAAGATATTCAATGCGATTCGCTGGTAAAAACTTTTCCTCGTTAAAGCTTTTCTCTAAATATGAGATAATTGAGTATTGAAGCGATAAATTAGGA